TTTTATATGGCGCGCGCGCGCGTGTGTGTGTGTGTGTGTGTGTGTGTGTGTGTCCCTATTCTTCAGAGGTTTCTTGTGCACGATACGTAAATATAACTTGTAAATATAACTTCATCGCGAATTAAGAATCGTCTGAGATTTCAGAATTTTGACTTTAACTCTCAAATAAGATGCTCTTGCATTACTTTATCTTTTATTTGCGTACGCGTGTATTTTTTTCTTTTTATCTGTTTTAATTGTAGAATTCTTATCATAATTTAATTATTTCAACTTTACTTAATAACTATGTTGACAATATGTAAAAATCCAATTATATATCCGAGCCACAATGTCACTCATTTGCCACAATAAAGACATAACTAAAAAACTATCATTCTTGACTCTTCTATCTGTTTGCAAGAAAAAGAAGATCTTATTATTAATAAAACATAATTGAATTGTTAAAATTCGATCTAAAACTTCTAATTTTGCATCAGAAATGTTACAAGTCAAAGATTTTTTTGAGAATTTATGTTTATAATAGGTAAGAATTGACATTTAATAAAGAGATAGATATTTTTATTCCTTTACAACTATTATACCAGAATCGCATACAAAAATAATATTATAAAATCTTAATGATTCAAAACATTCGAATTCATTTGCTGAAAAATTTTGTTTTTTTTTTAAATATATGTCATTGTAACAAGTCATGTCAAGATATATCTAATTTAGATTGTGGACTGAGATCTAATTTGGATATGTCTTTGAATATTCGATCTGGATATTTTGTGAGTGTGAAAACATTTCGAACTGAAGAGTCACCGGTTTATGCCTGTTTCCCTCTTATTATAAATTTGTACGCAATCAGGAAGATCAGATGGACGCGGAAAATCGTAATTTTCTTTGCGTTTCATTCTGATGCTTCACATGTTTCCTAATTGCTTAAACGAACGTAACTCACCATTACATTGGCCACATCCATATGCTTTGCCAAGCATGGAGACCGCTGTGGTTATACGAAGAGTACTTAAATCTGGCATTGGAAGCGGTAATTGCTGCTCCATTTGTGCCATTTTGCCTGTGAAAGGAAAGGATAAACAACATTGAGAAACAAGAGATGGAGAATTAAAAAATTGCGTTTTATTGCAAAGCTGTCGCGAGACACAAAACTAAAAATAAAAAAAGATAAAAGAGGGAAGAGAACGAAAGAACGAAACATAGATTTAAGCGATGAAAAATTTAATTTCTACACTTTAGAAAGACTTTAGAAAGACTACAGATGCGTGCGAATATGCGAGACTTCGTTATAGGTAACACATAAAGAGAATAACGTGCATAACGCTTTTTATTTGCAGAGATTTTCTGTATTTCATTAGCGGTTCGAAAGTCCGTGCAACGAATCCGCAGTGTGCATTGAAAACGGAAGTCCTATGCGATCATTCCGAACCAACCATCACGTTTGATCTTCGTGAGTATAATAGCAAAAATATAGAATTGTTACTTTTCAACGTTTCAGCGAGCGTATCGCTAGCGTCCTATTCATTTATGCAAATATTCGTCTTACACAATACGGAAAGGTATACAAAAAAATGCAAGAAAGAAAGATATATGTTCAGTAATTAAATTGAACATATTCTTGCGATTCGTTTAACAATTCGTCAAAAAAAAAAACGCGTGTACTAATGAAAAGCATATTAGCAATTCGGTGGAATTAATACCGTGGCCATCATGTCTGAATTATTCATTTAGACTTTTCTTTTATATCTTTTCTGCCGTAATCGTCGCGATAAGCGAGTAGGTCACTCCCGACCCGTTTATTTTTCAGAATCCGGCGAAAAAGTGGTATTCAAAACGGCTCTTTTAACAACCCTCAATGTTTTGGAGCTTTACAACAAGCACATTACTAGTTTGATCCCGCCCGATCCAGCTAAGCTTGAGGCTGAAAAAGAGCGTTTAGAAAAGGAGAGAAAGAAGAAAAAACGACCGCATCATAGAATAAAATTATGGAGCAAGCGTAGAGGAGTAACGCTCTAATTTCATTGGCAACTTATTGGGCCGCTTATTATTGGTAATAAATCAAGAATATCAAATTGTGTTTGCACAGTGTACAAATTTTTCACAAATCTATTTGAACGAAATTTCTAAATTATGATTCTAACTCTCTTTAATACTTGAATTAAGATTTTCGTTCTATTCTCTAATATTTTCTAAAAATATAATAATGTTTTACACGGTCAATATCTTTTACTATATAAATATTTTATATTAATTAAATTTAGCGTATGTTTAAATTTTATAGAAAGGGATAAACCGATTATATAGCGATAATGATTATCACTTATATTTTTGCAGAATTTTCTATCTGCTAAGGACGAAAGACGGGAGATTCGTAAATTAAAACTTTGTAGAAACTTGATCGAAATATTTGATTGCAAACTGTAATCGTAAGAAAGGGATACACTAGTTTTACTCGTTTTAAATCTACAGGAAATAAGATAACTTAATAATGGCGAGTCAAACAGGAAGTAATAAAGATTACAATTTAAGACTTATCGATATGCTCTACAGTCAAGTTCCAGCCTTCACCGATGTATTTGACGAAGAGACTTGGTATGTGTTTGTCATTTGTTTTGTAGCGGGTACTTTTCTGGTGGCATTTATTCTTTCGAGATTTATAACTATAAAACCTGTTGAGTAAAAACGTGCATAGCGAATTCAATTCGCAAAATGTCTGTTATATTTTGTGCTATACTTGTCAAATTATTAATTATCTATTTGATGTCATTAATTGTTTTACGCGCATCGCACTCATATAAACTTTTCGATATAAAAAAATCTCAGTCTCACGCAATGAAAGCGATACAATTTTGCGCTAATTAAAATTGTAGGATGAGATGTATAACTTTATAAATGTGATGTAGATTGTTCATGTTAATAATAAAATAACATATGTTAAAAAGATATATAACCTTATATGAGACATATTAAGCAAATTCATATAATTTAAATTTCTTTTTCTTGCATAAATAATTACTTTCGAAAAAGTTGCAGAAATTTTGTGTAGAAATAAAATCCTTGCTGGTAAAGTTACAATGATTTCTCAGTATAAATTCAATAATAAATTGAAATCGTCAAATCAAATCACATAATTATTTGTTACTATTTATTCCTATACCTTCTTTTATATACCTTCTTATTTATAACGATTAGTTATTTAGAAAAGACGATTTTTTTTCTTTATATTATTCAGATATCATTACATCAATATAATTCACAATTATGAATATTTCTGATGCTTTTAATATCTTTTAACACAATATAGCAACCAACATCTGACATGTTTAGAGAAACATGAATTTTTTTTATATTGTTTTGACATTTCCGCGCGATTAATAATAAAATATACAGAGAAAATAACGCAAAATATCGTCTAAATAAACTGCAATAAGTTCGACAGATCGGTGCGATTCTCGTTTCTCAAGTTTACCGAGTAGTTTCGCCTCTCCTTTTTTTGGCCCACTTCTCTGCTCCTCATTCTGTTTCTCTTCCTCCATCTTTCCTCTCTCCCGATTCCTTCCCTTTCGTCCATATGCGTGCGCGTTTCGTTCCCTTCATTCTTTGTCTGTCCTGATCGTGCACCGCTATCGTCCTTGCGGACGTATCTTTCCATAGCATGAATATCTCTGTTTCGTCTCCGCGTATCTTAAACCGGACTTAAACTAAGAAATCGATGCCTTCGCCGTACAGAAAATAATCGTCAGAAAATAAGGATTTGTTCGCTTGTACATTTTGCTTGAACAAATTTACTTCGCAATTAACGTTACCCGTAATTAGTAAAATAGATATGCCAAGATGTGACACACATTTTACGCTCGCGATAATAAAATCATACTGCACGAGAATACTAAACCGCAGTAATTTTGCTAATATGCATATATAGTTTATAGTACATGCATATATCATAAAATTATTAATATAAATTTTATGTTGCACACAAGAGGATTCTTTATTATTCTGAATATAATTCGATTCATTCCTTGACAATTCTTCCGTAGTCTCAACGTCTATTAGTACAATTAGCACTAAATATATGCAAAGAGCATAGCCAATTGTAGTTGATTAGCAATTTGCCGAATTCAAAATTGAGAATAGTTAGTATAATTTTCCAGTAGCTACTTCAAGCAACCCATACGATGTCTAAAAAAAAAATGACAGATATAAAGCAAATTAAGCAGTATATTAAGACATAAATCATAAATTAATGAAGCTGCAATTACGTAAACCAAGCAATCTGTGTTACAAGTACACAAAATGACTTTAACTCTTTCAAGACAATCTTTTGGCTGCGCAACCAGAAGAAATTTTTTACGTAAAACTGGAGTGACCGTTAGATTTCTATTTTAATTTCCAAAAACACAACGAAACGTCGAAGGTTCTCTGAAATAAATCATCGTCGATGCCTTGAAAGAGTTAACAATGGAAAAAAAAAAGAAAGAAAATGAAGCATTGAAATCATGACAATCTCGACGAGTTCAATTTCCGCCTGCGTATATGCGACAAAAGAATACGATTCGGATACGCTCTCGCGCGTCTTCAGAGATTCACGAGAACTGAACTCGGCGAGATTCTGTCGAGTTTCGAATCCCGCGACGACGCTCGTCTCTCTGCTGAAAAATTCAGTTCGCGCTCACCTTGTTTCTGCGTGTATCTTCGGGGGGGGGGGGTGGTAGGTGAGATTTATGAGATTTACGATATGCAAGGATCGGAGCGTTTTTTCGGAGAGCGCTTGTTCTTCACTTCACACCGGCATTCTCAGATTGCACGCACGGAGCAGCAGCGGTGACGACGACAACGACGACGGCTGCTACGATGACGACACTGTATACTGTTCTGTTCGCGTGCGTGCACGCGAGACTACGTGGTCGCGGCAGCCGTGCTGCCGCGGCTATCACTCACGAACACGGGAAATCGCATCCCTCGCTGCCACTCCGACGTCAATGTCCGCACACGTGATCACGATTCTCTGTAACAATATCCATACGTCAGGATTTGTCAGAATGTTCATCGCGCACTCGCGAGATTAAGCGGAAAAACACGGGCAGGCAGCGGTGGTGGCTTTTTTTTTTTTTTTTTTTTTTCCAAGTTTTCCTTTTTTTTCCTTAAAGCTTTCTTCTTCTTAAACATCTTAATTTTTGTGAATTTTTGTGAAAATATAATTTAAAAGTTTGATAAAATTACTGTATCTATGGTTATAATTTTTTACAGGGTATCTATTCAAATATTGTAAAAAAAAACATTCTCTGAGAATTCCTGGGTTTATTTTTCATTTGTTCATAATTTCAGGTAAAATTAACTTTTTTAATGCAATTTCGAGATAAATTTATTTTACGCGTTTTTAATATTTTGTAATCATGAAAGAAAGTACTAGTACTAGTATTTGGATAATCTTTTGACTTAATCATTCTTAAGTGATTTGAATAATTGACTGATTTATTACTTATTACTAACTTGAATAATTGACGAATTATCAACAATTTGTATTAAACAAAATTATTACAAATTTTTTCTGGAAAAAGCAAAATTTAAATTAAAAAATAAATATAATACAATTCCACATTCTCTAATTTTCAAGAGTTAAAAAAAATCCCCAAGAATTCCAAGAAACATAAACATGCTATTTTAAAATTTTAAGATTTTGTTTTGCCGAATGTTGCCTATATTTCTGTGTTGGATATTTTTTCAACTTATATACATTGAATATTTATATTTTAATTTAGATAGATAAACATAAGGGAGATTGAAAAAAGGAGTGAATTTCCTTGGGAACGAATGAGTACAAGAAAATCCGAATATAACTTCAGATGTAATAATGCTCGCAGTATTTCTTTCATTTCATCAGATTGTTATTATATATCTGTGATAATATTTAATATCGCGAAGAGATAATAACAGTAGATAAGAGGATCTTCTTTTTTCCTCATGACAAGATGCAATCCTTTATCTCTTTTTATAAAAAAAAAGAACTTGTTATTTAAAATATATTAAGACTCGGACAAGAGATATTTGCGAAAAATATATATGCGTATATATATATATATATATATATATATATATATATAATAATATAATATAGTAGCATAGAATAAGTAAAAAGAAAATCATCGATTGTCGAGAGGCGACATGTGACATACCTCGACGTTATTTCCACTTCGTTGCCGAGTGATAACATTATAAATGGAGACAAAAGCCGGGAGAACCGTTCATCAATAATCCATACATTTAAACGAGTCGTTTAAGCACTTCATTTACTTACTTGATTCACGCGTATCATTCGCAGTACAGCTTGATCTTTCACTCGTTCGTAATATTAATTATGCGATCAATTTATTTAGGTATACCGGAATCTGTTATCACGATACATTTTACGTTAGGACGAAAACAAGTTTTAGCGGAACGAGAAAATTAGTGGTGGCATAAGAGATATTCCATAACAGATTGCATCATGTTACTTCAAATATAGTATTACACACACACACAC